AAAAACCACTATTTCCTCTTCAGAGTCACTTAAATGCCCCTCCCCTTCTGCCCTAAACTCAGAGAGAAGGGAGCTGGAGCTTCTAGCACCCCAAACTTTGCTAATTTCTGCCACTGTCCTTTGGTCCTCGCCCATCCTTTTAACTCTAAGTGCTTCTAGCCCCCTTCCTCTCCCTTGGTACCACCAGCCACTGCTCCTTAACCCCTTGGTGGCCTTTTGGTTCTGTTCCTTTATCTTAAGAGTCAAACTGAGGTTTGTAGTGTTTGGGAACGAGTGTTGGTGTACAGGTCTCGGGCCCCTCAGGGAGGACTGAGAAGATATAGGCTCATCAGGAGGTTTCTCAAGGATTGGGGGAGGGGGAGATTTCTCATTTCTCTTTCTTTTTACTTTCTTCTAATCCAGGGTTCCGAGTCTGAGGAAGACATAACCTTGTGCCTGCCTGCCCACCTCTCTCTCTGGTCCTGTTCATCTCTCAGGCTCTGAGACACTGACCTTCACTGCTCAGTTAAGGGTTCCAGGGATTCTACTTTCTCTGGACCCATCCAGCTGAGTGAACCCAGGGTGTTGTTATATCTGGGGAGAGTGAGGAGTGGGTTGTCCAAACACCAGAGCAAGAGCCCTTTGGGGCCTCAGACAGAGGAGTGAAGCTGGAACCATCAGGGAACATGAGTGAATTTTGGCACAAACTGGGCTGCTGTGTGGTAGAGAAACCCCAGCCGGTGAGTCTCCCCACCCCCATCCTAACCCAAAGAGCAGTCAATTACCATGTGCTGTGAGGTAGCCACACCATCTAGGATCTGCCATCTAAAAAGCACACTTCTTGCCTCCCTCTGTGTCAGGAGCTTCTATAGTCAAGCAGTTGTATATGTGGAATAAAGGGCATTGGGTGATGGAAGAAGTGAATAGTCCTAGCTATTACCTCCTGTTCCTGTCCATTCTGAGCTGGGCGGGGTTTGTAGGTGGAGCTGCATACCTGTCAGTTTTCCCCATTATTTCGTCATCAGTCAGAGGTGACTTTGACGTGTCCTTTCTTCGTCCGGTGTTCACTCTACAGGCCACTGCCCTCACTACTCTGGTTCATGTCTTCTGTGTGCTTTTGTTGTTCCAGCTTTGCCTTTCATGCCCTAGTGGTTTCCCTGTTACAATGCCACATCCCCTCTTCCCACCAGGCCCTTAGCTTTTTAGTGGTTTTGAAGATTCCTTTCCTTTCCTCCACTCTGACTGGAGGAGGGGCCTTAAGACATGACTCCTTATCTTCTCCAAGCAGAAGAAGAAGAGAAGACGGATTGACCGGACCATGATTGGGGAACCAATGAATTTTGTCCACCTGACTCACATTGGCTCTGGGGAGATGGGGGCCGGAGATGGACTTGCCATGGTAACAAGGAAATGGGGAGAGGTTGATAACGGGGGTGAGGTCTATAACCGTTCCTTCTTTTTGAAAGTTCAAGCTAGGGACATATGAAAATACTCAATGGGGAAGTAAAAACCTGGGATTCTAGTCCTGGTCACAAGTTGTGGAAACCTGAGACCTGGCATTTTAGGTGTCTGGGCCTAGGTTCTCTCATCTTTACAACTTAGCAGATTGTTCTTCATTGGGGTAGGGGGTATATATATCTTAATAGTTGGAGGGCTTTTTCCAAAAAGCTTATAATCCTCCCTTCTCCTAATTAAGAGCTGCTATCTCAGTGTCAGAGTAAATCATATATTTAGGAGTGTTGGGACAGGAAAAAAGCTGAGCACCGTCATCCTAAACAATGTCTAAGATGCATTTCTGTTCCCAAAATAAGGGAAATGGGTCTAAAGATAGTCTTTTCCCAGATCCTGAAACTCAGGTATATAGGGGAGAATCCATTGTGAGGGAATATTAGTAAAAGACCCATTTTACCTCATCCTCATGAAGGCCAGTGTGAAAAGAGGCATTGAGACTCCCCTAGGAGGAATGGCGGTTAGTAGACGGCTGCTATTGTCAAGGAGATGGCATCAACCTTTTCCTTGGAGGGCACAAAGTAGAGTTCTTACTGTAGGATATGAAGACTTAGGAAGGTGTCTCACATCTGTTTTTTCACAGACAGGTGCAGTTCAGGAGCAGATGAGATCCAAGGGAAACCGAGATAGGCCATGGAGCAATTCTAGGGGCTTATAGCTCCAATAATGGAACGGTGAGTGATTAGAGAAACCCACCCTACACCTCAGCCCCCATAACAACACAACCTGATACCCTGACTCAGAACCCTGATCTCATGCAAGAAAGAAAGGTGTGGCCAGGCGTGGTGGCTCATGCCTGTAATCCCAGCACTTTGGGAGGCTGAGGTGGGTGGATCACTTGAGGCTAGGAGTTCAAGACCAGCCTGGCCAATGAGGCAAAACCCCGTCTCTACCAAAAAATACAAAAATTAGCCGGGCACAGTGGCATGCTCTTGTAGTCCCATCTACCTGGGAGGCTGAGGCATGAGAATCACTTGAACCCGGGAGGTGGAGGTTACAGTGAGCTGAGATCGCGCCACTGCACTCCAGCCTGTGTGATAGAGTGAGACTCTATCTCAAAAAATAAAAAAAAAAGAATGGGAGATAGGGAGGAATTAGAAGGGAAGATTCAAGAATGTGGGATCTAAGCTGGGCATGGTGGCTAACGCCTATAATCCCAGCACTTTGGGAGGCCGAGGTCAGCGGATGACTTGAGGTCAGGAGTTCGAGACCAGCCTGGCCAACATGGTGAAACCCTGTGTCTACTAAAAGTACAAAAATTAGCCAGGCATGATGGCACACGCCTGTAATCCTAGTTACTCAGGCAGCTGAGGCAGGAGAATCACTTGAACTCAGGAGGTGGAGGTTGCAGTGAGCCTAGATCGTGCCACTGCACTCCAGCCTGGGCAACACAGCGAGATTGTCTCAAAAAAAAAAAAAAAAAAAGCGTAGGATATAGAAAGACTGAGAGAGTGTTGTGCAGATAGAAGTAAAGAACACACTGTGGAAACAGCTTAAAGTCTGCACTAGGTAGTGCCTTCTTCCTAAAGCCTTGGTTTTCTTTGAGGCTAATCTTCTTTAAGAAAAAAATTTTTTTTTTTTTAATTTCAGGTTCTGCCATCTTGAAACCCCCATTCTGTTTCCAGCCCAGAAGAAATGCTGCCCCTACCAGAGCCCTCCTTGAACCAGTGATCTAAGGACCCCTCTTTTCCCTATCTGCCTAACAGTGCCTCACAAGGCTTGGGGGCTGGACTCCCTCTACTCCCTCTGGCTATAGCCCCTCCTGGAGATGGGGTCAAGGCAGCAGGACTGACCAAGTGACTACTGGTTAGCCAGAGGAGCTCAGCTGAAGCCCTGGACACCCTCAGATCTGAGATAGGAGTTCTCTAGGAACCTGGAATGAGTTCCTGTCTCCTGAATGATGGTCTGGGTGCCACCTGTTTTTAAACTCTTAACCTGGAACTCCTTAAATGGGGTAGGTGGGTGAAATTATCAAAGCTGAAGCTGGCTTTGCTGAGAAGCTCCCTACCTCCCTGCCGTTCTTCCTCCTAGAATGAACTAAAGCAGATGTCAAACGGGCTGGTGGGGGTGACTACTCCCTTTTCCACTCTTTAGATTTCAAACCTTAGGCTCACAGCCCCTCAATATCTCTCTGCTAATACCAGTGTCTCTCTCTAGTTAGGCCTCTAATCAATCCTCTGTTTCTGTTTACCAGCTTCCCAGCAACTTTCCTCTTTTAAAATATTAAAAATTTAATTCAGGTTCTCTTAATTATCCCCATCCTGCTGTTGCCTCCACCCTTAACTCTATCCCTATTAGGAACCTTGTTTCCCACCGAATAAGAGTTAAGGTAAGAGATAGCTTTTCACCTGATGACATTCCATTTAAGTCTTGGGGCATTTTTCCTGCCCTCTGCCAACCTCCCTGGTGGCCCAGGTGAGAGGAGGAAGAGGGGTCTGGAGAGAAACCCAGAATGCAGCAGAACTAGGAGTAAGTCCATCTCAAGGTGAACTTCTGATCATTGAGGATGGTGAGATAAATAGGTTGAAAACAATCATCTGTGAGTTTAGGAGTCTTAAGATCCTCACAGCACGGGAGCAGGGAGAGGCTCTAGAACAAGGTTTCACAACCGAGATGCCTTTGACATTTTGGGCTGAAGTGTTCTTGGTAAAGGATACCTGTTTCCTGTTTTGTGCATTACAGGATATTTGGCAGCATCCCTGGCCCACCCTAGTTATGACAACCAAAAATGTCTCTACACATTGCCAAATTTCTCCTAGGGGGCAAAATCGCCTCCATTTGAGAACCACAGCTCTAAAGTCAAGATATTTTTCTCTGAAGTGATTTCTGCTTGGCATGCTACCCTCATCATGTTACTCATCTTAAGCCCGAGCCATGGATGAACTAGGAGCTCGTATAAATGAGGCTCAGCAGGGCTGCACATAATCTCCAAACAATTCTTTATTCAGTGTTTTGCTTGTGCTCGCGTGTTGCTGTGATGGACAGGTCCCATGCTCCTCCATTCTCGCCCTCTGGAGAAGTGGTTCCTGCAGTGTAGATATGAACAGGGTATGGTAGGATTGAGGATGGGGGAGAGAGAAGCAGTAGATACACTCCTTATCCTCCCCAAATTTTAAGCTCTATTTCTGTGCCCTAGTCCTAGAACCAGACACACATTAGACTCAGGGAGTTTTGTCTGAAGACCAGGTCCCACTGCCCTCCCCCGGCTGAAGAGTCTGCTTTAGATGGGAAAACAACGTAGGAGCAGGGGTCTTTAGGCACTTTCAGTATTCTCAGGTGTTCTTTGTTCTGGCCCTTCCAGGGTAATTAGGAAGGCAGAACAAGACAGATGAGCTCCTGCCTGCTGTGAGACAAGGCTGGGGTCTCATTCGATTTGCAACAGGAAACATCCTGTTCTATGGTAGTGGGGTCAGGAAGGTAGGAACTGGTATCCATTCTGCCAATTCCACCACCCATTCAGTTTGCTTATACCTACAGAGCAGTGACTGAGGTTCTATTTTTTTTTTTTTTTAAATTTCCATGTATTTTCTGCCATTTTTCAGGGTCTAAGATTGGTCCTACATTCCCAATTTACTCTCAGTTCCAGTCAAGCTGGTTGCTCTGAAAGTAACCCAACTTGTTGCCCTAAAATACCTCAGTAGCCTGAGTGTTATACTAGAGATCTAAAGGGTTAACAGGATAGGGTAGAAAGATTAGAGACTCCTGGAAATCTCTGGTTACCATGATCTTCAGCCCCATTTAATACCTGTTCTTTGGACACAGTCTTTTTCCTTTGGTGCTCTCTTGCCTTTAGCTACCTTCTCTAATATGTATGCTACCATCACTAATAAAGTGATGGGAATGGGTTTGAGAGTCATAATTTATATTAAAAAGTTGTTGGACTTTTAAATACATTTTTCAAATAAAAAAATTTAAGCAAAATAGTTGCACAGTAATCACTGCAGGTGTGTGTTGGATTAAAGGATGGATGTGGCTAATGAAGATAACTCCTCCAAAGTGGCCAAGATGGAATTTTGTACCAACATTGCCCTTCTGAGGAGAGAGGGCCAAGTATTATGAAGGCAAGAAGACCAATGTCATCTTTCAAGGGCTCAACTCCTTGTTCTTCCTACTCCCTTTTCTTAGCGTTTATTTGAGATTTTTCAAGCCTGTAAAAGAAGTAGTTGTTTTAAAACAATGTTGGAAATGAGGAAAATGAGCAATATCAACATTTTATCCTGAGGGACAGGGAGTAGGGAATAAGCCAGAGGCTGCTAGTTACACAGTTCAGTCTTAGTGATGAAGAGATTTATGTCTCTCCTCCCTCAGGTACCTCTGTAAAGAAACACAAGACCAAACAATGTATTTTCCAGTTTTGTTTTTCTGTTCTGAAAATATCTAGTGGGTGCTAGGATTGAAAGGGCATGAGAGGTTGAGATGCTGATATCTCCTCATGTGGATGAAGTGGCCATTACCTCCGGTTTCTGTCTATCTGGGTAAGGAAAAAAAATAGAGAAAAAGGGAAATTACAACCACATCTATATTCTTTCCCTTCCTTGCTTCATCTCTCCCCCTCCCACAAACCCATATTCCCTCAACCCTATTGCCCACCCTTTACTTATTTTTGTATGCAATAATGGTACTGGACACACAAGGAGAAAAACAGAAACAAGCAAAATGACCAAGCATATGCTTTGTTTATCACCTTTCCCTCCTCAAAGTCCTATCATCCATATCAATTGAAACCTTATCAAGTCAATCAGAACCTTTGGTAATTCTGGGTAAAGCAGAGGACTATCTTTCCTTGTCCCGGAAGGACAGTTCTCCCAGATGGTAGTGGTGAAGAGGGTTGGCACTGGTGTCAAACCTGATTTAAATCTCATGGCTCTGCCACTTACTAGCTTTGTAAACCTCAATTTCTTCATCTGAAAAACGGGGATAATAATACCTCATAGGGTGTGAAGATCGATTCAGGTAAAGTGCACATAGTAAGACCTCAAATTTTGGCAGTTGTTGCTATTAAGCTGTATTAGGTCAAAACTATTAATTGATTAAGATCCTCCATATCTGTTAATTATCTGTGCATCAAAAAGTATGGGCTGGGCATGGTGGTTCATGTCTGTAATCCCAGAATTCTGGAAGGCCAAGGTGGGCAGATCCCTTGAGCTCAGGAGTTGGAGACCAGCCTGGGCAACATAGTGAGATCTTGTTAGCCAGGCGTGGTGCATGTCTGTAGTCCCAGCTTCTCAGCAGCCTAAAGTGGGAGGATTGCGTGAGCTCAGAAGACGGAGGCTGCAGTGAGTTGTGATTGCACCACCACACTCCAGCCTGAGTGATGAGAGTAAGACCCTGTCTTGAAAAAAAAAAGTCTTACGGCCAGGGGCACAGTAGCTCATGCCTGTAATCCCAGCACTTTGGAAGGCTGAGGCAGGAGAATTGCTTGAGCCCAGGAGTTCAAGACCATCCTGGGCAATATAGCGAGACTTTGTAAAAAAAAAAAAGAATTTCCAGGGCTAGGCTCGGTGGCTCATGCCTATAATCCCAGCATTTTGGGAGGCCGAGGCAGGTGGATCACTTGAAGTCAGGAGTTCTAGACCAGCCTGGCCAACATGGTAAAACCCCATCTCTACTAAACAAAAACAAAAACAAAATTAGCTGGGTGTGGTAGTGGGTGAGTGCCTATAATCCCAGCTAGTCAAGAGGCTGAGGCAGGAGAATTGCTTGAACCTGGGAGGCAGAGGTTGCAGTGAGCCAAGATCATGCCATTGCACTCCAGCCTTGGCAATAAGAGTGAAACTCTGTCTTTAAAAAAAAAAAAAGTATTTCCAATCTTAACTATTAACTATTTGGTCACTAATCACCTAATGAGCAGTAAGACATTTTACCTAATGACCAACCAGTAGTTGCTCAATAAATAATAGGTGGAATCAGCTGGGTGTGGTGGCTCAAGCCTGTAATCCCAGCACTTTGGAAGGCTGAGATGGGCGGATCACGAGGTCAGGAGATCGACACCATCCTGGCAAACACGGTGAAACCCCGTCTCTACTAAAAAAATACAGAAAACTAGCCGGACGAGGTGGCGGGCGCCTGTAATCCCAGCTACTCAGGAGGCTGAGGCAGGAGAATGGGGTAAACCCTAGAGGCGGAGCTTGCAGTGAGCTGAGATCCGGCCACTGCACTCCAGCCTGGGCCACAGAGCAAGACTCCGTCTCAAAAAAAAAAAAAAAAGGTGGAATCAATGGCTAACATTGTGAATAACCAATGCATGTTATGAATCAATAACCAGGTAAGTCAGTAACAGTTCATGTAAGCAACACTGGCTGGCTTAGCAACTGGGTTTTAGATATCAAGACTTTTCAGATCCATCATCAAAGACTCTGGCTTATCACCAAACACTTACTGGTTGCATCTCTGTGAACACTGAAGAGAGGCTATTCCAAATATCCTCCAGGCCAATCCTGACCTGTTTCCAAAAAGCCAGGGCTGGGCAGGGGCTGGTGGGTGGCAGGCTGGGACTGCTTCTGAGGTGGATGGTGGGGAAGGGGGTAGTGGTGGCCCTGGTACTGGTGGTGCTCTGAGAGGCACAGTTGGTGTCAGTACAGAGACTTGTGTCCAGGGGGCACTCTTCCCGAAGTCGGTTGCAGGGACATTGTTGGTAGGTGCAAGGCTTGTGCTCCGTGCGGAGTTGGCTCAGCGCCCCAACTCTAAGGCGCCCGGAAAGGCCGTGCAGCTTCCCAGACCGGCTCCGGCTCATGGTGCCCGACTTGCAGTGGCAGTGCCACGGGCCCCAGGGCATCAGCACCAGTCGCAGATCCTCAGGAGGTGGCATGGCTGTAGATGAGGGTGACGGCCACCGGCTCGGGGTAGACCCGGGTGTGGACCACTGGCTCAGGGTGGCCTCCGAGCCTGGCGGGTCCTCAGTAGACCTCCCGGGGGAGTGCGGCAGGCTTGAAGTCATCCTGATTTCAGGCTCCTGACTATTGGCTATAAACCTCGTGCTGGAACTCCCCGCTGTACTGGGAGTCACACTGGGAAGCTCTCTGCTGGTGTTATCCTTTCCAGCATTAATCACAACCCCCTCTTCCGAAGACCCATCCTCCTCGTTAATGGTGGACGACCGGCTAAAGCCGGTGGACACCGTGGCAGCCAAGAGCTCTGCAGCCGCCGGTCCAGCCAGGCGGTCGGCGTCGGCCATGGCATCATTATCGTCCTCTAGGATTATCCTCGTCTTCCGGGGAAGAACAGGCCGGGCGGTGCTCCGGTAGCTACGGGTCCTGGGGCCCGCAGAGCGTAAACTGATCCTCTGCATTGCGGTCGGAGTCTGGGTCAGGCCTTGGGCCCCCGCCGCCCGGGGACCCAGACTCAGCAGCAGGACCCACAGCAGCGCGCCGGCGGCGGGGACCATGGGGCTGGGCTCTTGGGGTTGGGAGGGAGGCCACTGAGGCAGGCCCTGCCTCCTACCTTCGCTCCCTCCCTTCCGCTCTAGACCCACTGGGTCGTTTGAACTGAGGCCCGCGGGGAAGCGGGTGGGGTTCGACGCGCAGGCGCCCGCGCACCGTGCGGGGTGCTCCTAAGGAATCTCTGCGGCAAGAACTCTGCCAGAACCGAAAGAAGGTTTGGGATGCAAGGGGTGGTGAAAGAGTCGTTCACTTCTTTGGAGTAGAGCTTAAATGTCTCATCGCAGTTTATTAGTCTCTACAGTTCTAAATTTACTAAAGAGCGCAAAATACAGGTTTTGAAAGCACTCCTTCCCAGGCTCACAGGCAGCAGACATGACTTAGAAGGAAAAAGGGCATACAGGGGTTCTTCAAGATTTAAGGAGCTGACTCTCCTGGCTCCCAGCAGGCAGGCTGGCTGTCAGGTAAGCCTCTTCCATCCAAGGTGGAAGGATCACAGCCCCTCCACTTAGAGAGGAGGAAAATGAGGACCCAAAAAGATGATTTGCCCAAGGTTCTACAGCTAAAGTAGGATTAAAACTCAGAGCTCTGGCCGGGCGCAGTGGCTCACACCTGTAATCTCTCCACTTTGGGAGGCTGAGGCGGGCAGATCACGAGGTCAAGAGATCAAGACCATCCTGGCCAACAAGGTGAAACCCTGTCTGTACTAAAAATACGAAAAAATTAATTGGGCGTGCTGTGTGCCTGTAGTCTCAGCTACTCGGGATGCTGAGGCAGAAGAATGGCTCGAACCAGGAGACAGAGGTTGCAGTGAGCCGAGATGGCGTCACTACACTCCAGCTTGGCCACAGAGCCGGACTCCGTCTCAAAAAACAAAACAACCCCAGAGCTCTGCATATCCCATACAAAATGACCCTACATTCAGCCTTCTGCCCCAACAACTGGAATGAAAGTCACCCAGCAGACCAGCTTCCCAGTCTCAAAACCCTGCTGAAGGCAGGGTCATGCAAAGGACAAAATCCCACTGAGAAGTGAAGATCCAGTGGTACTGAGATTGGGGATAAGATGATTTACAAAACAGCTCAGATGTTTCAGGGATTCGGGTGTAGGCAGATCACTAACTGGTTCTAAGGCCTTTTATCCAGTCCTGTGTTAGGTCCCTCCTGAGCCATGGAGATCCCGGTCCAGCCTAGGAGAGGGAGGGGAGACGAGAGGAAAGAAGAGGTTCAGGGGCAGGACTTGGGTTTTACTTTCTGGTTTGGGGAGACAAGCCAGGTGAACTGGAAGAGCTAGATGATTGGGTTGAGTCATCATTTAGCACTTTTGCTCCCTAATACCCTCTCCCCCACTGGATATCATCTGTTCACTTCCAACACATCTCTTCCTAATTTCTAGGGCCAGTCGGAATCTCCTCTGCACTGTGATTATTCCTTTATTCCTTATTGCCTCTGCACTTATATATATAGGTTTTTTTTTCATTTATTCTTTTTTTTTTTTTTTTGAGACGGAGTCTCGCTCTGTCGCCCAGGCTGGAATGCAATGGCCGGATCTCAGCTCACTGCAAGCTCCGCCTCCCGGGTTTACGCCATTCTCCTGCCTCAGCCTCCCGAGTAGCTGGGACTGCAGGCGCCCGCCACCGCGCCCGGCTAGTTTTTTGTATTTTTTAGTAGAGACGGGGTTTCACCGTGTTAGCCAGGATGGTCTCGATCTCCTGACCTCGTGATCCGCCCGTCTCGGCCTCCCAAAGTGCTGGGATTACAGGCTTGAGCCACCGCGCCCGGCCTTTTTTTCATTTATTCTTGTTGGATGCAATAGTGTCCTTCATTTCTTCTCTGGGTGTGTGCAGTTTCCCCATATATATTAAAGCACCCGAAAGCAGGGCCTCTGTCTTTTCGTTCTTTTGTATGTCCCCCAAGGCATTAAAAAAGTAGGGATTGGCTTTACACATCCCACCCCCAAAGCTTTATCCTTAAGTGTGAAACTCACTGTCTGACAGCTTCAGGGATGTGGACTTGATCCAGGGATATGAGTTGCGCCAGCTCCCCCAGGCTGTCCAGAAAACGGATTTTTCGTGTGAATTTGGAACTGAAAAGAGAGAATAAACCAACTGTGTTTTGTATTGGGAGAAGGGTTCCCAAAAATCCTTGCAAAGAAAAATGTAGAAGTAGAGTGGTTAAGGCTAGAAAGAATCAAGGTGGAGAAAGATCTTAATCTTGATTTTGAAAATGGGGGGAAGGAGAAGGGAGTCCTTGTTCCTAGAACTAGTACCTGATGAAGGGCCGAAGCAGTGCCAGAAATGCCTTCACATACCATGTAGCATGGACAACCACCAGGGCTCGCAGGTTTTTCCGTAGCCTGAAAAACAACAGGAGATCATCCTATTTCTTCTTCCACCTTTATGTGTGAAGATCAAGTGGAACTGTTTTCTGTACTGTAACTTCCTTCACTTCTCTAGTTTCTAGATTTATCTGGTACTTGGGTCTAATCCCCATTCCGTCAGCTGTAATCTCAGCTCCGCCCATCTTATTTAGCCCTCCATGATCCTCATTTTTAAAAAACTCTCCTTTCAGATTTTTTTTTTTTTTTTTTTTTTTTTTTTTTTTTTTTTTTTGAGACGGAATCTCGCTCTGTCGCCAGGCTGGAGTGCAGTGGTGTGATCTCGGCTCACTGCAACCCTCCACCTTCCGGTTTCAATCAATTCTTCTGCCTCAGCCTCCCAAGAAGCTGGGATTATAGGCACATGCCACCATGCCCAGCTAATTTTTATATATTTTTAGTAGAGATGGTGACTTGTCACCATGTTGGCCAGGCTGGTCTTGAACTCCTCACCTTGTGATCCGCCCACCTCGGCCTTCCAAAGTGCTGGGATTACAGACATGAGCCACCATGCCCAGCCACCTAGTCTTTTTCTGCTCCATTTCCCTCTTGTGCCCTACCCTTGCGTAAGTTCCTTTTGCATGCTTTTGCATCGCTCCATGACCAAGATTACTTATAAAACTCTAGGTGGAAGAAGACCAGCAAGGACAAAAAAAGGAAAGGGGGCAAGAAGAGAAAAGTGAGCAAAGGGAGATGGGGGAAACAAAAGGGGAAAAAAAAAATCCTGAGAAGGAAAAGAAGACATAGGGCCAGGGACAGTGTCTCACGCCTGTAATCCCAGCACTTTGGGAGGCTGAGGCAGGCAGATCACCTGAGCTCAGGAGTTCAAGACTGGCCTGAGAAACATGGCAAAACCCTGTCTCTAACAACAACAACAAAAAAATACAAAAATTAGCTAGGCATGGTGGTGGCGCATGTCTGTACTCCCAGCTACTTGGAAGGCTGAGGTGGGAGAGTGGCTTGAGCCAGGGAGGCAGAGGTTCCAGTGAGCCATGATCGCACCAGTGCACTACAGCCTGGTGACAGAGAAGACACATAGGTCAGTGATGAAGGCAGAGAAGAAGATAATGGAGGTATGGAAAGGGAAATAAATAGCAAGACTGAGAGAAGAGAAGAGTGCTTTCTGTGTGCCAGGCAATATGCCACACTAATTTAATTGCTTTTCACAAATACCCAGTGGCAAAAGTATAATCATTGCCATTTTACAGATAAAGAAGCTAAAGTGGCCAGGTGCAGTGGCTCATGCCTATAATCCCAGCACTTTGGGAGGTGGAGGCGGGCAGATCACTTGAGCTCAGGAGTTTGAGACCAGCCTGGGCAAAATGGTGAAACTCCATCTCTACAAAAAATACAAAAGTTAGCCGGGCATGGTGGCCCATGCCTGTAGTCCCAGTTACTTGGGAGGCTGAGGTGGGAGGATCGCTTGAGCCTGGCAGGCAGAGGTGGCAATGAGCCGAGATCATGCCACTGTACTCCAGTATGGATAACACAGCCAGCTGAAGCTGAAGCCCAGGGAGGTTAAGTGACTTGTCCAAAGCCATATAGCTAGTAAATGGTAATGTGGTAATGGCAAGATTTGAAGCTAGATTTCCCTGACTCCAAGAGAGGACAGAAGACAAAAGAGCTGGGAAAGGAACGTGGAAGGACAAAGACAATAGGAAAGGACTAAATGGAAGAAGAAATAATAGAAAGGTGGGAAAAAAAGATGAGATAGACAGTTGTAGCCCTCTCATCCCAGGTCTCACCGCCGATCCAGGGTACGGTAACACTGGCGTATCCAGCTCAGAGGTGGAACTTGGGCCCTGCTTGTGCCTCCACTCAAATGAACAAGCAGGTAATTTTCAGCTACTAGCAGCTCCAGAGTTCCCACCATATACCTGGGGGGATGAAATTGCAGGGAAGGTATGTGTTGGGGGTTTCAGGGAGTGAGAAGAACATTACTGTACTCTCCCATCAGCTACTGATCTTTGAAGGAGTTCTTTTTTACTTTTCCCTCCCTAACACTGCCCTGTAGCCCTTCAGGCCTTCCACCTCACCTAAACAAGTGTTCCATGACATAGGTGTAGTTGGGGATGCTGCTTCTAGGTAGATAACAGGAAGCAAAAAGGATGACAGCATTGAGGCCATCACCGTGGTAACCTGGAGAGTATAAGGGGAAAATTCATTTGGTCAACAAATATGTATTGATAGATAGTATATCTGTTTAAGTTGAGGGACTCTGAGGGTCTTTGGAAGTTACAGGATAGATTTTGGATCCAATGACTGAGTCTCCAGCTTAGGCATTTTATTAAGAAGCCATAGCTCTTACCCTCCATTTATGCTAGCCATTACCTCCATGAGACAGGACTTTCTTATAGGGCTCAATGACAGTCATGTCTACACGCTGCTCCCGTGGTCCGATTCGGAACACCCTCCAGTGACGTCCATCTTCTCCAGCCACATCCCACATACAACCTCGGCCCAGCCTTTCAGCTGCCTCACTGGCACCCAGACCCTCTGCCCGGGGTAGTTCATCTAAAAGAGAGGGATGGGGAAGGATCAGGCAGATTTTCTACCTTCAGTTTTTTGTAACTTCCTCAGATTCCCAGTTTGTTACTCTAATCTGTCATTCCTCGATTTTTTCCTTGATTTTTTTTTTTTCCTTTTTTTTGAGACAGAGTCTCACTCTGCCACTCAGGCTGGAGTGCAGTGGTGCAATCTCAGCTCACTGCAACCTCCGCCTCCCAGGCTCAAGTGATCCTCCCACCTCAGCCTCCTGAGTAGCTGGGACCACAGGCACATGCCACCACGTTC